TTGATATTCGTGATATTCGGCAGCAAAAGATCAACAAACTTTTAGAGCACGTAATTGACTTGCCCGATTCAATTCTCACGACATTTATAGATATAATCGAAAAAGTTGCTAAAGAACAACTTAATCAACCAGAATATTTAAAAACATGAAACATATTTTTAAATATTGCAAAAAAAATAGATAATAATAATTTAAAACTTAGTATATCATTATTAAAACTTATGAGATATAAAAAAGGGCCTAAAGTTAGACAAATTGTCTCCAAATATTTACAAAAAAAAGCTTGTAATTTTATTGAAAAATCAATATACCATTCTAATATTTAAAAAAAAATTAATCATTTAAAAAAAATCAATAAATCACTGCATAGTAAAGTCAGCAAATCTAAACAAATATATAAAAAAAGAATTTCTTTAATTTGTTTTGCAGTCTGTAAAACGTATAAGCTAACTAATAAACAATTAAAGTTAGCTATTCAAAGTCAACTTATGGAAAATAAAAAACAGTATAATGCTAAAGCTGTTTCTATAGCCACACAAATTTGTGAAATTGGAGAAATATCGTATCGATCTGCAATAGCTTGTACAAAAAAAGTAATCAAATAGTTAATAGATGAAGAGCCTAACAAATAGTTTTCTGTCAGTACACTTGTCAGATAGCATCAAGATGTATCAGATATTTATCTAATTTAACAATACTCTATTGTTAAAAATTCTAAATAGTTTATTTTTAGAATTATGGTAGACGAATCAATATGTGAAGATAACAAGGTTTTCGTTATATGTTTTATGTATTGGGGATCTTATTATTAACGGACCAAAAGTCACCTTGTTAGAACTTGAAGATTTAGCTTAATATTCTGGAATTTCAGTTGCTCGTACTGTTATTAATTCTTGTAATTGATACCAATTAGATCTAACTAAGTGTTTAATATGGATAACTAATAACACAGTATATATGTCTTGTTATAAAAATAGCGCAGTAACTTTATTTAATAAGAAAATTCATTTCGAATTTCATATGAACTTTATATAGCTCATATAATAATGATTAATTTTGAAAATACTATATTTGGAAAATTAAAAGTTGAAAAAGGATTTTCTACCCAAAAACATCCTTTTAATTTACTTTATCTTATTTGGAAATTGCATAATAGTTATACCGAAAGTAATAAAAACAATTTTATGAATATGAAATTAGTATATATTTTCGATTTATATTTTAAGTTATTTGGTATTCGGTTAACTAAATTTTAAAACCTTTAAGGCAATAATGGTTATACGAATTACATGTAGCAAGGCAACTAGTCAAAAGGAGAAAATTTTTAGAAGATTTTACTTTTTGGTTTTTAAATAAGTTAAAATCACACAAAAAAAAATACCAAAAACTTATCTTGCAAATTGAGAACTTCTTCAACAATAGTTTACGGACTCAATTTTAAAAATACAAGTAGAATGTTTCATAAAATTTGAGAAACAAGTTTATAAGCCAATGATAAATTTTTTAATTGGTTCTGATAAAGAACTATGAATTCTTTAGCTTGATAGTCAACTAACATCACTTTTCCCTGATTGCAAAGCCCATGAAATGCCTGATCCAGTTGTTAAATAGATAGGAAATTTATATAGAGTTAGAAACAATATTTGCTCACTTTTCGATAAAGAATTATGTGATACTGTTGATATTTTTGATAAAGAAGATTTTGAAATTTTTTTTAATAATTTAGAAGCTAATATTGATATAGCTATAAATTCTTTGGATAAGTGGATGAGTATATGGCTTCATCTTTTATTAAATATGTGTCGATTAGGTAGTAAATATGGTCGTGAATTTGCTAGAAGCTATATACATGTAATATTAAAAAGGCAACGAAATCAAGTTCCTAGTTTCAAAGAGTTGTGTTATATAACTCTTTTGGAATTAGATATTAAACAATCTAATTCTAATGATTTCAGCTTGCTTCAAGCAACAGAAGATCCATTATTTATGGAAGAACTACTTAACTTTGCTAGTTCTGATCAATCGATTTACACTTTTTCTCTACTATATGAATTTGTCAAATATCAAATTTATTATATAGTTATTTATCAACAACAGGTTGAGGGTTTGTTCAATAAGTATGACCTTAAATATTATATGAACATAAATATTGAAACTAAAAAAAACCAACTTTCGTCTTTCAGGTATTAAGCAAGTTTCTTTCTCTAATAAAGAATTGGCATTACAAAGAAAAAATAAAAAAAAACTTAAATGAGCAATATAATAAAAAACAAGGTAACGAAAAACAAGCAATATTTGAAAAAATAGAAGCTAATATGCTGTTTAAAGACTTGTTCAATAAATAAAGGAAATAATACTATAATAAATAAAAGTTAAATTTTCCATCATTAATGTTAGTTATTTGATAAATAAAAAAAATAATAAGTTAGTTAATTTTCTGAAATTTCTGAAATTATTTAACAAACTAGTAAAAAATCTTTACATATGTACCCCGACTATGATTTGATTTTACCTATTATTTTGAACACCCTAACAGAACAAGATAGCGAGTTAAATTATTTAATTCGATAAAAATTACGTAATAATGTGATTTTTGCAGCAAATCACAAACTTATTAATTTTTTTTTATTATAACTGTTAAAATATATGCTTTATATAATTTAATAATTCTTTGACTTCTATTGAATTGTCTATTATTCTATCAATATTATCTAAAGTTTTATCATCAATCGTATTTTCACTCTTATTTATTGACTCATTTTCAAATAATTTATTAGTTAAACTTACAATTAGCATATTAATGTTCTTGTTAATTTTATATTAAAAATAATCTAAACAGATAAAACACTTAAAATAAGATTTTTGTAAGCAAGAATTTTTTTTTTTTAATATATTAGCAGCCTTGTTGGTATCTTTATTAGATCAAAGCAGATATAATTATATCCTAAACTATTTAAGTTACAGATCTGATATTACTCAGCTTCCTCTATAGGCACCCAAGTACAGTCTGCCTTACCAGTTAAGGCAATTGCCTGTACTGGAGGGCTACACCAAGCTAGCTAGTAAAACCATACTAAAATAATTTCAAATTAAAAAAAATTTTATATATACTAAATTGGCAATTTTTCTCTTCTAAACTATCCTCTTTTCTATAACAGTAATTTAATCTAATCTCTCTATTAATAACCAAATCTATATTTTTTTTTCCTGAAGGGTTATTGCCAATCTATACTACTAAAATTTTAATGTCTGTCTATCTGTGCATTTTAAATGATTTGATTGGTTAGATCAGTTATAGACAATTATAAATAATAACGCGTGTTTGTATATACTATACCAGATAAATCTAAACAATAATGTATTAGATTTTATTATGCTTTTCAAATTACTAGCATCATGCAAAAATTTTTTTGCATAATATTTTACCTGACTATAAAAATAAGACTTTGTGCTTTTTTTTGTCGTTTTAACAGTATAACTATATACGAAATATATTTTATTGTGCTTTTCAAATTACTGTCATCACGCACGCAGAAATCCTTTTGTGTAATATTATCTAACTACTGAACTATAAAAATAAAACTTTATGTTTTTTAAATTACTGTAATCATCATTACATGTTAATAATATTACCTGACTATAAAAATAAGACTTTCAAGTTATACATACTTTTTTCATCATTTTAACAGTATAACCTACATACGAAATATATTTTATCACGCTTTGCAAATTACTGTCATCACACAAAAATCTCTTTGCGTAATATTACTTGACTATAAAAAAAAGACTTTGCAAATTATACACACTTTTTTTGTCACTTTAACAGTATAATCTACATACAAAATATATTTTATTGTGCTTTTCAAATTACTGGCATCACGTGAAAATCTCTGTGTATTACATTATCTAATTCAAAAACTTTAAAGTTATGCTCTCAAATCAAACTGCAAAGAAGTTTGAGATCTAAACATAATTTAAGCGTGAATATTGCCAAAAATCAGTGAATTCAAAGTATTTATCTTTTTACATGTTTAATTATTAAATTTTTTTGGAAAATTAAATTAATAAATCAAAATCCCATTTAACTTCGCTTATTAATAAATATGATCGAAAAATTATTTACTTTCGCTTATTGTTGTAGTGCAGAATTTTTCAATATTTTATAATCACATGTACAAGTTAAATTTCTGATATTGTAAAATATTTAACGATAATGTATATCATTATACAGAATAGCCAATCGGAGAGTACTATTCAGGATTAGCGAAAAATCAGAACACATGTAAAAGAAGAAAAAAGCAAAAATCTAATATTTAAATCGATCTTTGTATACTAATTAAAAATGACGTGAATAAAAATTTACATATAATAAACATCATTCTAACCCTATAGCCTCTAACACTAAGGCCTAACCCTAAATTTTTATCTCTTAGTTTATTTACAAAATCGAATTTTGTATTACTTGCGCAAATAAATAAAATGAGGTCAAGGCAAGTTAAATAATAATGCATAGTTTATTAATATAATCTCATTGGTTTATAATTATACAATTACACATTAGGAGGTTTTATAATTAACAAATAAGTGACATATTTTGAAAATAAGTAGGATTTTTAAATAGTACTTTTACTATGTTGAATTATAAATCAAGTAAGATTCTCTAATTTTAATTATAAAACCCTATTTCAAATAGTTAATTAACATTGTCTCGGATAAGCATTAATCTAACCCTATAAACTCTAAATTAAAGCTCTTATTCTAAATTTTTATCTTATGCACTTTTTTTTTGTTTGTATTACTTACACAAATAAGTAAAATATAAAGCACAGACATAAGGATGTGCTAGTCTACTAGTATTCTTTTAAATATTCTTGTATCTTTACTTCCGGTTTCGTTTCTTTCAATTCATTTGGTCCTTTCTGATCAGAGACCTGGCTCTTAAAAGTCTTCTTAAGTTCTTCTCTTTGCTTTTTTCCTTTTGTTCCAAAGCTCTATTATTAGATCTTTTTTTCTGTTCTGAGGTCTTTACGAAAGTCTTCTCTTTTTTAGTATTCTTTGGAGCTCTTTTTACTTTTCTAATGGTTGTCACAAATTCACTTCATTTGAGTTTTTTTTTTTTTCTTTTCTTTCTTTTGCTAACCAGAGCATC